GGAGGGACGAAGAGAAGAACGCGGGGAGGTGGCGACCCTTGAGAGAGCCACACAAGACCCGCCTCTCTCTTCGCGACTTCTTACCTGTCTTCGAACACCCTCGTGCCGCCGACAACGCGACGGCGATCTCAACTCCCCACACACTCGTGAGCCTGAGGAGAGAAGTAGTGAGGGGGGAAAAGGGAGAAGGAGGAAGAGGGAGTTTGTCTCGAAGAAGGGGCTATATTGCTTCCCTCCGCCGTACCAAACTGAACGCAAGTCCCAAACGCACGCAATACGAACTCGAAACGGACGCACGCACGGAAGGGACGGACGGACGGACGCCTGGATTTGTATTATCATCATCATCATCGTCGTCGTCGTCGTTGTCATCATCCTCTGACAATCTTCACCACCACACACACGCACACACACACACAAACGGTTGGTTGGATTGTGCTGGCTGACTGGCTGTCTGGTGGGTTTTGTGTTCACTCGCAGGACTAGGCTACTTGTTTCCCCCGTTGTTGTGATCAGCGAGATAAAGGCTTACGCAGTGTAGGTTGTGCGCGCGGCAATTTTGTTGAATGGAGTGAGACAAAGGTGGACTTTTGTTATGCTGTTATTGTTATCCTTCATCGTTTTGTTCGTTTTCACTGATTTCAATCGATTTGAATGAATGACGTGAGACAAGTGTGCACTTTCATAAAACACATACTGCTATTCTTATCGTTGTTACTATTTCTTACATATAAATTATTATTCGAGTTACAAGTATTAAATAAAAAGAGAAAGACAGACGGGGATAGGTATAATTCAGACTGCTAAGTTAATTCTTACATATATTTGTGTTAAAGCGCGCTTTTTTGGGAGGGTCCTTCTTGCCGTTACGTGTTTTCTACTTTCAGTTTTTGAAAAGCAAGTAAACTAAACTTGGATACCGTAGTATTTAAAAGGTCGACTGTGCTTCTTCACCTTACTGAGCATACCGAGTCATTGATTCAGGTATCTACGCTGTTAGTCGCTATCGTGAATGATGATGATGCCAGAAGTCACTTTGCACGCCGTTAAAAATGGGGAAAGAAACTGTTGCTTGTACCGCGCATCTGAGATTCTTTTTTCTATTTTCTGAATACGGTCGGTAAACGAGTTGAACGTGGCGAATTCATTGAATAACTAGAATCTAGAGCTAGTCAGTAGCTTGCTGCTTTCATTATTGTCATTATTATTATCATCATTATATATTATTATTATTATTATTTTTGTTATTGTTTTGTTATTATTTATATATTTATTTACTTATCTAGGGCCTCTTTATTTATTTACTTACTTTTTTTTGTAAAAATGTTTTACCATCATTCATTGTTATCATAACAATGATCATAATTTTACAACGTTTTTTCGTACGCATCATTATTGTCTTTATGATAAATTGTATAAGAACATGTTAATACTTCAGCTAAAATCGCTCATATTAGTATTGTTGACGTTTACAATGAAAAAAAGTTAAAATAGGATAATAATAATGATGATAAAGATGATAACAATGTAACAATAGCAATAGATCTAGTAGCAGAGATGAAAAAAATAAGACTAAGAATAATAGCAATCTTAGTGGTAATGAAGACGACGATGCTGGTAATGATAATGATAAAAGATAAAGATCATTAGTGTAATACTATTTATGATACTGGTGACAATAAAAAGTATGAGCTCAATAATTCATGATGATGACCGATAGTTTAGTTATAGATCTAGTTAAAGTTTTAAAGTATTTGCAAAACAAATACATCATGGTATAAGTGCCGAAGATCAGAGATGTTACTAGATCTAGAAAGACGATGATTGCATTAGTAATTAGTGTAATGAAAGCATCGGTAATAACAAGAGTATCGTGAGGCGTTAAAAAATATTTTTTTAAACTGGTTACTGATTAAGCCCATCACCCAGCCATTATTATTATTATTATTATTATTATTATTATTATTATTATTATTATTATTATTATTATTATTATTATTATTTATTGTTATTATTACTATCATTATCGTCATTATTATTATTATTATTGTCTTTGTTGTTGATGTATTATCATTATCTTCGGTCTTCATTGATACTATCATTATAAATCAATAGCATCGTAGTAACATAGATCTATGCCTGTCATAGAATTTTGTTTTAAAAAACGTTTACATTAATTCCGTACGTGACATCACGTGACTTAAATTATCTACCACAGTTCACAAATCCGTACTGAATATTATGCATGGTTTATTCCTGGGCGGTGTATGCATTCGCTCATAATGTTATCTTTATAAAAATAATAATAATGATAATAATAATAATAATAATAATAATAATAATAATAATAATAATAATAATATGCATTATTCACAGTTGACCTATCTCGGGACAGATCAGCTTTTTTTCGTCCCTTTTCCCTTTCACGGCACACTGAATAAGGTGATGAAATTGTTGAGGCACATCATCGGCTTTTCAAAGAGATGTTATCATAATAAAAAGAACGCCAGTAGATTCCATTGTTTGCACCTTCTCTCCCACCCGTCGAAACCACCGGTGGAACACCTGTGGGCGAACCCATGGTGGGCGCAAATGTGAACCTCGATACAGTGGTTGAACATGTCTCCCGTAGATCACGTCTCGTTTGGAAATATTGGGGAAATACTGTTAACATTTACAACGCAAGAAGATATGTATTATGATAAGTATTCATAACAATGTCTTCCGAAAATAGAAGAGAAAGACTTGGAGGTAGTCATCGAAAGCTTTCTTACCGCTAGTGAAAACTGAAGATGCAATATTTTATTTGAACCGGTGCTTTTGGGAGGATTTCGGGTTGTTGTTTTTTGTTTTCGTTCTTTTTAGAATAAGATTAATTTGTCTTTCTATCTTATAAAGCTTTTCGGATTTCAAAATCACAAACCGTATGTAATTGATACATATCTCTGTTCTTTTGTATAGTCAGTACAGTGAGACAACAGCATTACTCAATCTTACTTCACTTTCGTTAAAAGCCAGATTTTTCTTTGTCAGTGCGATTTTGAAATCATTAATCGTCATCTCATCTTTTTTTAAACCCAAATAAATCATGTTTTAGAAAATAACTCCCTTACTCATTAAATTTGTTTAGATAATTTCACATTTCGAGGAATTGGAAACTTTTTTAAAAATATATTATTTAAAAAGAAAAGAAACAAGTGTGCAGAACGGAAAGGAAGAACTGAAAGGTTATTAGTACTTTGTAGTTTGCTCATGAAAGTGGGATATTGTGATTCAGCAACTGCAAGTCAGTGCACACGCCTGTTGTTTCTTCATGGATGTGATTTTGAGATAAACAAATAGATGCAGCACAGCTTGGAGAATGCGGAGCTGTTGGTGTGAAGGCGGAAAACAGGGTAATTAGATACTCGCTTTGTTCTTTTCTTTTCCTTCTCGCTCGTGCTTTTCTTACCTAAAATCGTTTTCTTGCAAGTTTTTTGTTAGCTTGCTTTATTTCCCCCTCGACTCTTAGCTTCGTTGTGAGTGAGAAAGACACGAAGTGTGTTGATTGTTTCACGATGTTAGATAGAACGGTTACCTGTGTGTGTGTGTGTGTGTGTGTGTGTGTGTGTGTGTGTGTGTGTGTGTGTGTGTGTGTGTGTGTGTGTGTGTATTTGCGAGTGTGAGTGAGTGTGTGCGAGCGCGTGCGTTCCAAATAGCTTGTCAGAACATGTTCAGCGATATGCAATCAAGGTTTTTAAACACTAGGGAGGAAATGTTTTGACGTCCCGAGAGAGCTTCGTTCTTTCAGAGAAGCATCAGCCTTTCTGCGCCTCTCTGCAGTTTATTTGTTTTGTCTATTGAATAATGCATTTGTTTTTTCGGGATGAGGGTTTGTGTATCCTTACCTTTCTCCATTATTCATTGAGGCTCATGTCAGAAGAGTTCTGAAGGAACAAAACACGCAAGCCGGTAATACTGCGAGCTGTTCGATGTCTGTGAGAGGTTTAGACTTACCAGTAGCACGCTTTTGCTTTGTTTGTTTTTTTAGTGGGGTTTTTTTTCGTTTTCGCTTTGTTAAGGGCTATCTCGCATTGCAAAAGTTCGTGAATGCAATAATGCTGTATCGTTTGACTCTAGGGAACAGATTACGAAGGTAAATGTGAGGCAGCGTGGTGGAATCAGGCTCTCGTCAATTTTTGGGCGTATTGGGTTATTGGTACCATCTTAAAGCTTGTTCATTTGTCTTGTTTTCAATGAAAACATTACCCATCCATCTTCAATAGAAGTGGAGATAATTTGGATTGAAGGAGGTCACCTGATTTAAGAGGTAAAATTAGCGAAAAAATGGCCGCCAAAGCTAGGTAAATTCCAAAGCTGGAGAGTCCATGGAACTGTAAATTTATATTTGTGTGCCTTTAATCAACGTTTCCGGTGAAATCCTCCAAGAAATGTGTTTGTAAATGGACATAAAAGGTGTTGAGCCAAAAAACCAAAATTTGATAAAAATTGCTATGCTGGGAGAAAACTGCTGGGTTTCTTTCGATTACAATTATTTTGACGAGAGCCTGATTCCACCATGTTGCCTCACAAATGTGTTCTTAGCAGAAAAAGATAGCGATGATAACTCGAACCTCTGGATCTTCCCTGACGTTCCTTGGGGCATTTTCGGACAACTTGATCTGACGTCGGAGGCGTGGGAGATACCGTGATACTAAAGCGCCAGTTACTCACCAAGGCCTTGAAACAACATCAGTTGACATTGACACGAGAGAAGGGGGGAAGGAGAGAGAGAGAGAGAGAGAGAGAGAGAGAGAGAGAGAGAGAG